TTTATAAGTTATTATGCTCAACGGGTATTCATGTTATGCTCATTTGTAAAATGGCATAACAATGCATATTTCAAAAGTATCATATTGCATTTAATTTGCATACCGAAGTTCATAAGAGTTGATTATAGATATAATTTAATAAGTTTTTATAAAGAAAAAAATAAAGAAAAGAAAGTAAATTCGAAGAGATGAAACAGAGATAACGATGCTCATTGTTATGTTTCTAATGCTCAACAAAATATGTCTCATGCTCACTACAAGTGTTTTAATGCTCATTTAGTACAAGACGCGAATTTCATGTAAATTACAAAAATGTCACCGGTTGTACGGTTCTCACCGTACAACCGGCTGTACTGTATACGCTACCACCAATGGGTGTAAGCCATGTAACATGCGAACACTAAAAATCAATGCATCCTTTTGTTTTATTTTTTTTAAATACATATTTGGATATGAAAATATAGGGTCTTAAATATTAAATTATTATTACACCAAAATTTGTGTAAAAATTGTCCTGATTACTATCGCTTCAGTGACCACTGTCTCAGTTACTACCGCTCCAGTGACCATCGTTCCAGTTACTACAGCTCCAGTGACCATCGTCCCATTTACTACCACTCCAGTGACTACCATCCGAATTACTCCCATTCCAATGACCACCGCCCAGTTATTACTGTCAGTTATAGTTACCTGACTCGTTATTTACAGTTACCTAATCAATCAGTTACAATTATAGTTACCCGACTACCCAGTAACAATTACCTGACTCGTCATTTACAGTTACTCATTTTGATCAGTTATAATTATAAAATTCCACTGATTAAAATTACCGGGTTTCACCATTTAGAGTCACCTGATACAACCACGCCGGCCACTACCGGCCACCGACACCTCCGACCACCACCGCCAACACCACACCCCAGCCCCTGCCTCACCAAGCCCCACCCTCTAACCCCCAGTCAACCGCAATCTGCCACCACCCTCCCAACAGCATCCCCACCAGCCCAGCCCAGCCGCCAGCTCCCCAGACCCATCAACCCAGCCCCATCCCAGCGGCCAACCACCGAAGGCCCTCTCCAGCCCCCATTAACCCAGCCCCCGATACCATACCCGCCGCCCACCCTAACCATAAACCCTAGCCTCAACCAAGGTGTAGCCGTCGTGTCTACTGGTCGCCACTGCTCAGATTCTCCACCGCTGGGCGTGATTTTCCTCCCTTGATTTCATCTCATTTTCCTCAATGGAGGTATGAATAAGATTGGCTTGGGAGAATCTGCACCTGTTCGCCTTTGGAAAGAAAGAGTAGAAGAAGAAAAGTGTTGGGTGGCTGAACGGCGGTGTAGTAGACTACGGCGGCGGTGGAGATGGGAGTGAAGGCAGCACCGGTCAGGAGCCACATCGGGAGCTTTACGTACGCCACGGAGGCGAAAAGTTTTGTAGATATGCGTGTGATCTGAGGAGCTGCATTGGGAGTTATATATTCATCCGCAAGCAGGCTTCAGAGGCAAATCGGGCATTTAACTTTAGTTTAGTCTCATTTTTGTTAAAATAAAGTCATGGTGTTATTTTTGTCTTGTGAAACCCGTGTAGTGTTATTGTCAGTCATTCTTTCTTCTAAATTTTAGGGAGGACTTTATTAAAAACGTTTTTAATTGAATTGATTTTTTTCTCAATTGTCTGTTTTGATCAGATCTGGTCTGATTTGTATGATCTAATCTGGTCAGTTCATATTATATGAGCATTTTGTAACTCTTTTTGTCAAACAAATTTACCTCATCCAACAAATAGTTCAAATCCAGCATTTCAAAATTCAGCTGTGTACAATAGTCTCTAGTTCAAACAGTAGTCTTAATCTAGATATTAGCCTCCACATACATCTTGAAGTGCCACACATATCCCTAATCTATGATCTCGTTTGGTGACCCTAATTTACAGCTTATCGTACAACGTTTTTATAAAACACGTTGTTTCAACTTCGGACGCTGAATTGATCTAATCTGGCCTAGTCTAATCTATTCTGTTTACCTTTGATCTTGTCTAAATTCGTTTGGTCTGGTAAATATCTTATATATGGATATTGAAAAAATTATACATAAATAATATATAAAACTTTGCTGGATTCTAATCGATCACGACAAAATTTTCATAATACATAATTGCCTTTTTTAAAATCTATAAATAGTACATTTCAAATAGACAAAATTTCCACAATTCATAATTGCATTTTAAAGATCTATAAATAGTACATTTCAGAGAGACAATTATGTAAAGTTTTTCCATGTGTCGTCTTCAAAAAATAATATGTGGTTCAAATAATTATTGGAAAAGAAATATTAAAAATACATTTTTTAAACCGGTATACTTCTTTTACATTTGGAATACACGTATCTAAATTTGATTTATAATAGCTTTTATTACTCATTGTATATCACACCATGTGTGTGTGTTGTGTGACATGTTCTAAAAATCGGCCTAGTCGGACCGATTAATCGGCCTAGTCGGACGCCTTGGCGGCTTGGCGCTAGGCGCCCCTCAACTGCCCGACTAGCGCCTAGCGAGTTTTAGAACAATGGTTGTTTGTGTGTTACAAAGAATTGTTCAAGATATTATTCCTCACTTTTCACACGATAATAAAATACTCCATAATAGTTTTAAATAACTCTAAAAAAAATTCATATATGTTTAAACCTAGAAAATTTTAGCCCTATTAAAACATTTTTATCACTCTTATTGGTATTATTATACAGAGTATGACAACATTAGAATGTTTAGAATGTTTGTGGAGATTTATTCTAATATAAATGGAGTTCAAAATTTTAGGAAGGACTCCTTTAAAGATGTTTATAATTGAGCTGAAATTTCAGGTATGATCTGATTTGATCTGACCTGATCCAATTTGTTTATTGAGAAATATTTATACAAATAATGTATAGAACTTTGATGAATTCCCATGCCAAAACTTCCATTATTGACAATTGAATCCCAAAAAAAATAATTTCATATGGAGTTCTAAATTTTAGGGAGGTTCTTTAAAGGACACTTTTAATAGAAATTGCCCTAAATAAGAGTAAAAATGTTTTGAAATTCCAAAATAGGACGTTCATGTTTTTATTCCATAAATGGGAGTACTTCGGCCCAGTTTGAAAAAAATGTTCTATTTTTGGAATTTTAAAACTTTTTTTATTATTTCTATTTAGGTAATTCTCTCTACCTTTAAATGAGCTAAAATTTCTTGATATGATCTAATCAAATATGATCTGTTTACTGAGAAAAAATTACACAATTAATGTTTAGAATTGAATATGACATAATTAATTTTAATTTATTGTAACGTAAAATGTTTAACAAGTTTTAGGAAGTTTTTTTAAATACGTACTTTAGAATAGGATATGGGAAATGCGAAGGATAAAGTGATTGTTAATGTTTCAGTTCTAATCCAACTTAAATATTCCTTTCAAAAAAATCCAACCTAAACACAAATGAAACGAAGTATTATTAAAATATACGAGTATCAAATTGGATAAAAAAAAATCTAGAATATTATAGTGAATGTATGCTTAGAAGATGACATATGGCAAAAAGCAAAATAAAAGGGAATGGGTAAAAATAGGACATACTCAATAAATTAAAATTTGCATCATAAATCAATGTTATAATTGACTAAATAAGTGATTTTCTGTTAGTAAAACTAAAAAGCAAAATCATTTTATCCCGTACACGGCACAGATAAAAATATATCAACTTCATAATTTTTTATTATCTTTCATATGACACCAATAATGAATATATAAAAATACAAAATAATTTTTAAAGTGCTAATTTATTTTTATTTTTTAAAAGTAGATATATTTTAAATTGTTGAATTATTTTTGAAAATAGATGTATAAAAAGTGTTAAATTATTTATTATTTTTATATATTCAATATTGGTCTCATATGAAAGATAATAAACAGTTATAAATTATGGTATTTTTTTTGTAACCATAAAAGTACAAATTAAAAACTTATAGCACTTTAAAATAAATATGAAATTTTATTTTTTGAATTACCTAGCCTTAAGAGATATAAATCCAATCAAATACGTTTTAATAGCTCGAAGCCACCAACTTCTCAATAAGATTGTTTAGATACAATAGAATTGCATAATTTGACATGTTTATGTTTCAATTATATATGACATGCCAAAATGTGTAGTGTGAACTGGTGTAAAAATGTGAATGGAAATGATGTTTTAATTGGCTTGTAACGATATAGTATAGAGTAAGTGAGTATCGTTCCGCTAGAGAATGACTCAAAAAGAGAACTAGAATTAATGATTGATTTTTAGCTAATCACAAATTGATAACATTTTGCAATGGAGCTAAGTGAACAGATTTTTTTATCTTGTTTTTATAAATGTGAAATTGCTAGGAAATAAAATAAATCACAATACTTGATAATTTAACAATTAATGATATAGTGAAAATTAGGCTTGGGCTAAGAGTGATTTTATTTTCATGTTCATAATAATAAAGATTTAACTGATTAACTTGGTTACTTTTAGGTGTGTGAAAGATTTTCAAATGGTAATCTTCTAATCGTTCCCACGACTTAGTTGATTACACTATCTTAAATTAATTCCGCTCCCGCGGTAATTTTATTAAGACAGTAAAAAGTACAAAATCAATTTATCCTAAATTCCTTAACACTTCCGTGTAGTAATTTAGTGGGTGAATTAAATAAATGGATTTTAATGAAATTTCACTCCCGTGATAATATTCATTTCCAATATTAATTTATTTAGCAGATTAGAGTATTCAACCCAACACTCCTAAAATTAACCAGTTAATAGTTTTAACCAATTATTATCTTATGAACATTAATAGTTAAAATTACATCTTGCCCAAACCTAAACTAATTTAGTTACACATAATTACAGTAAATGAAATAAAAGTAAAACTGATAATAGGCATAATTAATTTAACAGATTAAAGAAAATAAAATGAGTATTGGAATAAGAACCTGAAGGCATAAATAATGTAGAACATAGATGAACTGGAACAGAAAAAGATGCAATCCTTGTATAAAGCTGGCACTGATCGAACCCAAATGTGAATTTCTTGAATGAACTTTATTATTAATATGGAGTATATTGGAAGCTAAATAAACTTCTGAAAATGAGAATTACGAACTGAAATATACAGAAGTGTTCTTGAGAGAATCACTTTTATTAATAAACAAAGCTAAAGAAAAGAAGCAAGGATGATTTCTATCTACTGGGTGTCTCCTTTGAAGCTCCTGAATGACCCCTTTATATAGTAGCAAAAGAAGGGTATAGCTCAGAAATATCTCCGAATGAAGATAAAGATCATTTAATTTGGATGGCCACTGATTTCAATCTTCACCAGATGTGATTGCCAATTTCTCATTTTTCTTCCTGCAAATAGCACCGGCCACTGTTCAGTTGTGCATTTTTCTTCGTCGGCCGCTGTGCTCCTCTGTTCGGCTAATGAAAGATGATGAAGACAGCTTTGGTTCCAAGTGGATGCAATACAATTATTTGATCTCAATTTGTTTTCTTCTTGAGATTTCTTCTACGGTGGAGCCTTATTCACAATAATGGATTGAATAATTGTTTTCAGCTTGGCTCTTTGTTCGCCACTTCTTTATTTGGCCGGTTAGCTGTTTGATCAGTTAACTGGTCAAACAGTTAACCGGTACATTTTATTGTGGACAGTCTGATTTATTCTGAAATGAACTTCGGGTCTCTGTATAAATATTTCGGAGATAAAGTAAGGACTCGCTTCACTTTGATGATTTTTCCGTCTTCACTCGGGAGTAATATTTATTTCTTTTCAAAAATTAATATACGTCCCGAATTATTCTGAAAGTAAAAAATATACCAAAACAAGTGCAATACCTTAAAATGTCCAAGATGATAAAGATCAATCCTTTTTATTTAAAAAATGTAAAATAAAGTATTAAAAGTGTGACAAAACAAGATCATAAATATGGTAAATTAGGAGTACATCAACTCCCCCATACTTAAGATTTTGCTTGTCCTCAAGCAAAAATATTTACATTTCACACAAGCAAACGAGCATGCAAAAATGAATTGCCAAATCATATGTGTAATCCTCAAATCATGCATACTTTCCTTTCACTCCACCTGGTCAATCAAATTCCTTTGACTTGTCACAAAATAAGAGTAGTGAGAATCATAAAAATATTTTGCATATCATTTGAAACGTTTTGGTCAAATCTCAACTCTAACAAACACAAAGAGTGTGGTGTGAAGATGGAATCTAGCTTCATTTGTTCAACCATGCAAAATTATGCAAAATAAGATTCTCCTATCAACTTATTTCAGACAAAACACAATTAGGATCAGTTAGGACTTTCACATAGGGTTATAATGGGGTTTGTGGGATAGGCTTATGAACAAAGGGAATTAATGAGGAAACAAAAGAAATGAACTTGACATAAATTTAACAATATTAGAGAGGTACTAAGTTGTGAGTAGGAGCTTTTGACAATAATCTATACAACACTTGTTATTTTTAACAGTTAGGGGTAGTAACTAGTAAAAAGAGTAAATTAATGTACAAGAAAAATATACAAAAGAGAGAAGCATATACATGGATATTTAGCCTTGTTTAGATTTTTTTTTTTTTTTTCATTTTCTTTTTTTTTTTCTTTTTTTGCTGTTTTTTTTTTTGTTTTTGATTTTTTTGTTTTTGCTCAAGGCTTTTTAGTGCTTCTAACCATAAGAATTTACAAGAACAATATGTACAATGATGATACAACAAGAACAACTACCCCTATAAATGAATATTAACAACTAAGTAATCACAAAAGTGTAATTGAAGCTCCCAAATGTAAATAACACTCTCTAAACTCATTAAAATTTATGCAAGTTCATTCTAGGGTGGTTGGAAAGTGTTTGGCTTTTAGGCTAAGGGTCACATATAACAGGTTTTTATGAAAGAAAATGAGAAAAACAGGGTTAAGCGTATAACGCTTATAAAAAATGGCTCAAAGGGGTTGAACAAGGGATATTTATCACATGGGTAAGGCTAGGTATATGGGTTTATGAAAAATGGCCTATATCATTTCCTAATGTGCCAAGTCAGAAAATCATGTCAAGGAAAATAAAAGCACATAGTACTCTTGTTTTGCACAATTTTAAACATATTGAACAACAGTTTCATTAGATAACCATTTACGTGCATGAGATGTTTTGTGTTTGTACAAAGTTTAAAATTTGACCAAAATTTTACTCAACGCTCAAAAATTATGATTCTCAATCCAATTATTAAGAGACAAGTCCCGCCAACAATCCATGTACCATGTGAAAGAATAGAATGCATGATTTGAAAGTTAAACAGATGATAAGGCAATTCACAAACAAACAAACATGCATATTCTCCCCCCACACTTAGGATGAAACATCGTCCTCGATGTGACAAATATATACAGGGCGGGTGAGAAAATGGGTGGGAAAATAAAATTATTCAATGCAAACACACAAGCAAAACACACATTCAAATGCAAGTAAATAAGCTTGGGTTGCCTCCCAAGAAGCGCTATTTTTAACGTCGAGTGCCCGACATTACCTGGGTGGTTTACTCGTAAGGAGGATCATCCAGATGAACAGTGAGTTTCTCCTTTGTGTCATCTCCTTCATGGTATTGCTTAACTCTTTGGCCATTAACAGTGAATTGCCTCCCATCATTGGCCTCCAGAATGATTGCCCCAGATGGAAAGGCTTTGATAACTTTGAAAGGTCCAGACCATTTTGATTTCAGCTTTCCTGGAAAGAGTTTCAGCCTTGAGTTGAATAGTAGCACACTATCCCCAGGAGAAAAGTCTCTCCTAAGGATTCTTCCGTCATGCCATTTCTTTGCTCTTTCCTTGTAAAGTCGGGCATTCTCAAAGGCATCAAGTCTGAATTCTTCAAGTTCATTCAATTGTAGTAGCCTCTTTTTCCCTGCCAGAGTGTAGTCAAGGTTTAGGCTTTGGATAGCCCAAAATGCTTTGTGTTCAATCTCCACTGGTAAGTGACAAGACTTCCCATACACCAATTTGAACGGCGATGTCCCAATGGGAGTCTTATATGCAGTACGATAAGCCCATAAAGCATCATCTAATCGGAGGGACCAATCTTTCCTTGTGGGATTGACAACTTTCTCAAGGACTGATTTAATTTCCCTATTTGAGAGTTCAACTTGGCCACTAGTTTGTGCATGGTACGGAGTAGACACTTTGTGATTAACACCATACTTGAGCAAAAGTTTCTCAAGTTGTTTATTGCAAAAGTGTGTACCATTATCTGTGATGAAGGCCCTGGGAACTCCAAACCTTGAGAAAATAAATTTCTTTACAAACCGGATCACAACCTTGGAATCATTGGTTGGACTAGCAATCGCTTCAATCCATTTCGAGACATAGTCCACCGCCACAAGAATGTAAGAATTGCCACATGAGCTAGGAAATGGGCCCATAAAGTCCATTCCCCATACATCGAAGAGTTCAACTTCAAGTATTCCAGATTGTGGCATTTCATTTCGACGACCAATTGATCCCGTGCGTTGGCATCGATCACATCTTTTCACATACATTTGAGAATCTTTGAACAATGTAGGCCAATAGAAACCTGACTGCAGGACTTTAGCTGAAGTCCTAGTGGATCCGAAATGACCACCATATGGTGATGAATGACAATGATAAAGGATAGCCTCAAATTCATCTTCTGGGATGCATCTTCGAACAATTCCATCAGCACATCTCTTGAACAATAGTGGTTCATCCCAAAAATAGGAGCGAGCATCATGTAAGAACTTTTTCTTTTGGGCCCATGAGAATTCAGAAGGAATATAACCACTGACAAGGTAATTAACCCAATCAGCATACCAAGGAGAAAAGTGCTTGATTGAGAGTAAATATTCTCCCGTGAATGAATCATCAATGGGTAACACTTTAGTCGCTTCATTTTCTGTGTGTGGCTCAATTCTGGACAGGTGATCAGCAATGACATTTTCAGACCCTTTTTTGTCAAGGATCTCAATATCAAACTCCTGTAGTAGCAACACCCATCTAATAAGTCGTGGCTTGGCCTCCTTCTTCGCAAACAGGTACTTTAGAGCCGAGTGATCAGTGTAGACTATCACTTTGCTTCCAACAAGATATGACCTGAACTTCTCTATTGCAAAGACAACAGCGAGTAGTTCTTTTTCTGTTGTGGCATAGTTTTGTTGGGCATCATCGAGAGTATGGCTTGCATAATAAATTGCATGTATGCACCGACCTTGTTTCTGTCCCAACATGGCTCCTATAGCATAGTCACTAGCATCGCACATTAGGATGAAAGGCATGCTCCAATCTGGTGGTTGAATGACAGGTGCAGAACATAATGCTTTCTTAATTTTGCAAAAGGAATTAAGACAAGCATCGTCAAAGATAAACTCAACCTCTTTGGACAGGAGTCTTGTGAGTGGTTTTGCAATATTAGCAAAATCCTTGATGAATCGCCGATAGAATCCGGCGTGCCCTAGAAAACTTCGGATGCCTTTAACAGATGTTGGTGGTGGTAACTTCTCAATCACTTCGATCTTTGCTGGATCTACCTCAATGCCTTTGGATGAAATCTTATGCCCAAGAACAATTCCCTCTGTTACCATGAAATGGCACTTCTCCCAGTTTAGAACAAGATTTGCCTCTTGGCAACGAGTCAGTGCTTTATCAAGATTATCCAAGCACGAACCAAATGAGGTCCCATAAACAGAGAAATCATCCATGAATACCTCCATGATTTCTTCAATAAGATCAGAGAATATGGCCATCATACACCGTTGGAAAGTTCCGGGTGCATTACATAGGCCAAATGACATTCTTCGAAAAGCAAATGTACCATAGGCACACGTGAAGGTAGTCTTTTCTTGATCATCTGGATGGATCATGATTTGAAAATATCCTGAAAATCCATCTAGAAAGCAATAATGGCTATGGTTTGCCATCCTTTCAAGCAACTGATCAATGAAAGGTAAAGGATAATGATCCTTATTTGTGACTTTGTTCAGCCTCCTGTAATCGATGCACATTCTCCATCCCGTGACCAAACGAGTAGGAATGAGCTCATTGTGCTCATTTGGAACAACTGTGAAACCTCCTTTCTTTGGTACAACATGGATTGGACTTACCCATCTGCTGTCCGAGATAGGGTAAATGATTCCGGCATCAAGAAGTTTGATAACTTCTTTCTTCACAACATCCTTCATGTTAGGGTTGAGCCTCCTTTGATGTTCAACTACTGGTTTGCAACCTTCCTCAAGATATATTCTGTGCATACAATAGTTAGCACTGATGCCAATTAGATCATCAATGGAGTATCCAATGATCCGTTTGTGTTTTCTCAGCAGGGTCAATAGTTTGTCTACTTCTTCCTCGTTCAACTTAGTGCTAATAATCACTGGGTAAGTGGAGTTTTCACCAAGATAAGCATATCTTAGGTGTGATGGTAAAGGCTTCAACTCATTTTTGGGTGGTTCTTTTGTGTTGTTAGCCTCCCTCACTTCTTCTTTCACCAGTTTTACCACTTCCTTCCCCTCGTGATTCTTTTTACAACTCTCTTTGTTTTTTACACACTCAACTAACTCTTCTCCCTCATGATTATTTTCAATTTCCTCCACATCATAAACTTCCATAGGATCATTGTGAAAGAATCCCATGAAGTCTCTCACACATTCATCAACTATATCAACCCTCCAACAATCTTCCATACATGCAGGATTTCTCGCCATTTGGAAAATATTGAATTCAACCCTTTCATCCCCCACTTCAATTATTAACGTACCTTTTTTAACATCAATGATGGCACCGGCAGTGGCCAAGAAAGGTCTTCCCAATATGACAGGTACTCGCTCATCTTCATCCATGTCTAGGACGACAAAGTCACAAGGGATGAAATATTTCCCAACCTGTACAGGAATGTCTTCAAGAACACCAACAGGGTGCTTAACAGATCGGTCAGCAAGCTGAATGGTCATTGAAGTAGCCTTGGGAATACCAAGACTAAGGCGCTTGCTCATAGAATAGGGGATAAGGCTAACACTAGCCCCAAGGTCGCATAAAGCTTTGTTGACCATGAACCCTCCAATTATGCATGGTATAGTAAAGCTACCTGGATCCTTCAATTTTTCAGGAAGTTTCTTCTGAATGATATCACTGGATCCCTCGCTCATGGCTATTGTAGCTTTCTCCTCGAACTTCTTTTTGTTTGACAGAATTTCCTTCAGAAATTTGGAATATGAAGGCATATGTTTTAGAGCATCAAGAAGTGGGATTGTTGTGTTGAGTTGACCGATCCATTTAAGGAATTTATCCCTCCTCTCATCAATTGTGTTTTTCTTTGCTCTATGAGGAAATGGTAAAGGTGGAACATATGGTTGTACTACCTTTTTCTTGCCTTCATGTGAGTGAGAATTCAGATCTTCTTCATTGTTCTCCTTTAGTGGTGAAGTCTCTTTTTCAGGTATCTTCTCTTTCTCAACTACAAGTGGTGGATCAGAAAGTTGTTTTCCACTCCTTGTAGTGATTGCACTGACATTCTCCCTGGGATGTTCAGAGTAGGCAGGCAACTTTCCTTGAGCTTTGCTAGTTGATGGTGAAGCAAAACTAGCAATCTGGCTCTCAAGCATTTTGTTGTGAGCTTGAATTTGATTGAGTTGAGCGGTGAGTTGAGAGAATTGATTAGTGATACCTTGCATCATTCTCTGGAAGTCATTAACTCCAACAAATTGTTGTTGTTTCTGAGGTGGTGGTGGTAATTGCTGTTGCGGTGGGTACCCTTGCTGATTTTGAAATCCAGGAGGTGTTGGTTTGGATGGATATGGTGAATTTGCTGCACCTGATGGGTTACTCCATGAAAATCCTGGATGTGTCTTCCCTTGAGGATTATAGTTTCCTTGATATGGTACTTGAGGTCTACCATATATAGCATCGGCTTGTTCTACTGTGGGGCCAGAAGGAACGTTTTGTGTAAGTTCTAGAAGATTGCATTCCTTAAAAGAATGCCCTCCCCCACAGAGTTCACAGAACAAAACTTGAGCTAAAGATGATGATGGATTTGTTGATGTGCTAGAAGTTGATGATGATTGCTTCTCAGTGAGCTTTTGGATCATGTTTGTGAGAGAATCAACCTTTGCTGTTAAAGCTGTTGTTTGGTCAACCTCATAAATTCCCGCTCCTAGCTTTTGAGTGGATCTTTCAGAATACCATGATGCACTGTTGTTGCAAATTTTCTCAAGCATCTCTTTTCCAGTTTGAGGATCAAGCTCCATGAAAGCTCCATTAGCAGAGGCATCCACAACAATTTTGGAATTATCATGTAATCCTTCATAAAATGAGACAATGAGATCACCCATGCTCATATTATGATGTGGATATTGAACTTGAAGATCTTTGAATCTCTTCCATGATTCGTAAAGAGATTCAGATGGTTGTTGTCTGAATTGTTGGATCAGTTTCTTCATTTTTGATGCCTTAGAAGGAGGATAGAACTCCTTCATGAAATCTCTATGCAACTTCTCCCATGTGTTGAAATAACCGGATGGTTTAGAGTTCAACCAACTCAATGCTTCATCCCTCAGTGAGAATGGAAACAATCTGAGTCTGATGGCATCAACAGAGGCTCCATTAAGCTTAAGAGTTTGGAGAACTCTCAAGAATTGCTTCACATGGCTCGTCGGATCTTCATTCTTTGATCCGCCAAATTTGTTGGCTGAGACCAATGAGATAAGTGCTGGTTTGATCTCAAAATTTGCTGCATCCACACCTGGATATAGAATGCTATCTTGTTCCTCAATTTCACCTGCAACATAATCAAGAAGTCTTCTTCCTTGTTGTTGTTGTTGTTGTCTCATGAACTGCCCTTGACCTTGTTGATTATGTGGGTGTTGGTAATATTGGCCATATGGGTGAGGTTGATATGGGTGTATAAACGGAGGAGGTGGGTAAGGATAAGGGTATGTGTATGGATATGGTGGAGGTTGGTTTTGGTGATTTTGGTAGGGATGTGGTGGATAAAATTGGGGTTGTGTTTGGGGAGGAATTTGTTGGAAATTTTCAAATCCAGGGGGTCTTTGATCTCCAAAGAAAGGATTTTGTCCATCTCTTGGAGTATTAATGGGTGTATTTTGTGGTGGCGTAGGATTTGGATTTGGAATTAGGTTTTGGCCATTTGGATTATTGGGGTTGTTTTGAAGATCCTCCATGATCAAATGTGGAATTTTAAGTTCAACGGTTCGTGCCTTTCTTCTTTTCCTTAATTCTTTTTCAAAATCAAGGTTAAGTGATTGCAATCCTTCACTCCCTTGAGAGCGAGTATGCATACACTATTTTTTGATTTTTTTTTAAAAAAAAATGCAAGAAAAATGATTATATTTTTTTTTAAATTTTTTTTTTACTTACAAAGTTGATGATAACAGGTATAAAAAAAAAAACTTAGTCTCCAGATAAATAAAAAAACAAACACTAATATTAACTAATAATCAATCATTAACACTATGCCAATCCCCGGCAACGGCGCCAAAATCGTGACATGCCAAAATGTGTAGTGTGAACTGGTGTAAAAATGTGAATGGAAATGATGTTTTAATTGGCTTGTAACGATATAGTATAGAGTAAGTGAGTATCGTTCCGCTAGAGAATGACTCAAAAAGAGAACTAGAATTAATGATTGATTTTTAGCTAATCACAAATTGATAACATTTTGCAATGGAGCTAAGTGAACAGATTTTTTTATCTTGTTTTTATAAATGTGAAATTGCTAGGAAATAAAATAAATCACAATACTTGATAATTTAACAATTAATGATATAGTGAAAATTAGGCTTGGGCTAAGAGTGATTTTATTTTCATGTTCATAATAATAAAGATTTAACTGATTAACTTGGTTACTTTTAGGTGTGTGAAAGATTTTCAAATGGTAATCTTCTAATCGTTCCCACGACTTAGTTGATTACACTATCTTAAATTAATTCCGCTCCCGCGGTAATTTTATTAAGACAGTAAAAAGTACAAAATCAATTTATCCTAAATTCCTTAACACTTCCGTGTAGTAATTTAGTGGGTGAATTAAATAAATGGATTTTAATGAAATTTCACTCCCGTGATAATATTCATTTACAATATTAATTTATTTAGCAGATTAGAGTATTCAACCCAACACTCCTAAAATTAACCAGTTAATAGTTTTAACCAATTATTATCTTATGAACATTAATAGTTAAAATTACATCTTGCCCAAACCTAAACTAATTTAGTTACACATAATTACAGTAAATGAAATAAAAGTAAAACTGATAATAGGCATAATTAATTTAACAGATTAAAGAAAATAAAATGAGTATTGGAATAAGAACCTGAAGGCATAAATAATGTAGAACATAGATGAACTGGAACAGAAAAAGATGCAATCCTTGTATAAAGCTGGCACTGATCGAACCCAAATGTGAATTTCTTGAATGAACTTTATTATTAATATGGAGTATATTGGAAGCTAAATAAACTTCTGAAAATGAGAATTACGAACTGAAATATACAGAAGTGTTCTTGAGAGAATCACTTTTATTAATAAACAAAGCTAAAGAAAAGAAGCAAGGATGATTTCTATCTACTGGGTGTCTCCTTTGAAGCTCCTGAATGACCCCTTTATATAGTAGCAAAAGAAGGGTATAGCTCAGAAATATCTCCGAATGAAGATAAAGATCATTTAATTTGGATGGCCACTGATTTCAATCTTCACCAGATGTGATTGCCAATTTCTCATTTTTCTTCCTGCAAATAGCACCGGCCACTGTTCAGTTGTGCATTTTTCTTCGTCGGCCTCTGTGCTCCTCTGTTCGGCTAATGAAAGATGATGAAGACAGCTTTGGTTCCAAGTGGATGCAATACAATTATTTGATCTCAATTTGTTTTCTTCTTGAGATTTCTTCTACGGTGGAGCCTTATTCACAATAATGGATTGAATAATTGTTTTCAGCTTGGCTCTTTGTTCGCCACTTCTTTATTTGGCCGGTTAGCTGTTTGATCAGTTAACTGGTCAAACAGTTAACCGGTACATTTTATTGTGGACAGTCTGATTTATTCTGAAATGAACTTCGGGTCTCTGTATAAATATTTCGGAGATAAAGTAAGGACTCGCTTCACTTTGATGATTTTTCCGTCTTCACTCGGGAGTAATATTTATTTCTTTTCAAAAATTAATATACGTCCCGAATTATTCTGAAAGTAAAAAATATACCAAAACAAGTGCAATACCTTAAAATGTCCAAGATGATAAAGATCAATCCTTTTTATTTAAAAAATGTAAAATAAAGTATTAAAAGTGTGACAAAACAAGATCATAAATATGGTAAATTAGGAGTACATCAATATATAGCTACCTTTTGATGTGATGAAAATCTTATTATAGGTTTTATTTATCTGATCTTCTAGGAAAATGGTCTATTAAAAGTCTGAAGCATGCAACTTTTATTCTTCCAATAACATTTATTTTACTTAACAAGATCATATATACCTTCAATTACTCAATCTAATGAAAAGTAAAAGGATCACTACCAATCACAATATGCAGCCTTTTATCGCTGCCATTGCCTTCATTATAATCGGAATGTTACAGAATTATATATTTTAAAATCTTTTATTAAGGAAAGAGATATAAAAGACTAATTTAAAATTTTCTAAAACCTGGAAGGGCAAATATCCTAAAAATTTGACTACACCCATTTTTAGATAAATAAACTACAAAAATGTGTAGTTAGTTTTAGCACAAGTTTTGAAAATAAAAAACAGTAAGCCACAGATGAAATTTAATGGATAAAAATAGGTATTGAACAGTTTATTTTTGTTTAGCTAAAAATAGATTTATTTCAATTGAATGCAACTAAGAGTTACAAAAAGTTATTCTTTTCATTGGAAAATTTAGACTTAAGACTAACATGTTCAGATAATTTCAACAAAAAACAATTACGCCCCGTTAGACTGAAAATAAAGGATACTTAATAAATTAAAATATGCATTTTAAACCCATATAATAATAATAAACTAAATAAATGATTTTCTATTAATAAAACTAAAAGAAAAATCACGTGCACGACACGGGTAAAGATACTAATAAAAGTATAAATTAAAAACTTATAGCACTTTAAAATAAATATGCGATTTTAGTTTTTGAATTACCTAGCTTTAAGAGGTTTTCTAAGTTAACGTTAAATGAGTTCTAATCTACCTTTAATACTAATTAACGGAAGTATAATATATTTACTAAATTGGAAAGAAAATCTAAAATATTATAATCAAAGTTTGCTTAGAAGATGACACATGACAAAAATTTCCATAATTGTATCTTTGAAATGTTTTATCATTGAAAAATTGGACAATGAATATATAGTGGGGGATAAAACTTCAAAATTTTAATATATATACTGAGTAATTAATTGGGTAGTTAGAGAATAATATAGCTTGCGCCTGATGAAATTTAAGTTTTCCCCAATGAAATTTTATGTTACAAGAATAATCAGATGAATTATTATAAAGATGTTACTTACTCAAAGTTATCAGATTATTTGAACAAGCACCCTAGCCGAGAGCTGAGGGCTTTCCTCTTCGCCGTTCTGTGTGCGGCGCGACTCAAGTGGGACGAAGGGCGAGGCTTCGGAGTAGGGCTTTGAGGCGAGATGGATGACTCTGATGAAGGAGCGGGCATGGAGAGTAGCGTCCAGGTGAATGAACGAGTGGGAGAGATTGTTGCAAGGTACGGTGGCCTGGGAATTGGGGGCCAGGACGATGAATTGCTGATCGAAGATGATGAGGAAGAAGCCTCGGCAGTGAGGTTGGTGAAGGAAAATGACTTCCTGGTGGTTGGGTTGATCCTCACAGATAAAGCTATCCGCTTTACGTTTTCTGGGGGTTCATGGCGGATCTTTGGCGCCCGGTCAAAGGGATGACTATACAAGAAATTGGTGAACGAAGGTATCTATTTAAGTTTTTTCACTCTATTGATATGAACCGGGTTCTGGAAAACGGGCCATGGCTATATGAACAAAGTCTGATTGTGCTAAAAGCTGTTAATCCAGGTGATATTCCTATTAAGATGGTGTTAGATGAATTTGAAATCTGGGTTCAGGTTCATAACGTACCCTCTAGCTTGGAAAATTTGGGTACGGCAAGGAGAATAGGGAATTATTTGGCGGAGTTTGTTAGTTGGGATGAACAAAAGGCTAGGGACAAAAAGGAGGCTTATATGCGAGTGAGAATTCGAATGAATATTACTAAGGCCTTAAAAATTGGAACCATTTTAAGGAAGAGCAAAGGTGAAGGGTATTGGGTAGATTTTAGGTATGAAAAGTTGCCGAGTTTTTGTTTCTGCTGTGGAATGATTGGGCATGCAGAGAAATTCTGCCCTCTGCTGTATGAAAAGGAAGGACAGGCTATGACCAGACCGTTTGGGCCGTGGCTCACAGCAAGTGGAAGGAAGGCGAAGTCAAACTTAGGAAGAAAATGGCTGATAACAGAAGGAAGCTCTGCTGGCGGGGGGTCGCATATGACAAGTATGAAGAAGCCAGAGCGGGCAGGAGGTGGTATCGGATGAGACGGGGGAGAGTGCTAAGACAGGCGGGGGGGGGGGGGGGAGGCTGTGATCTCGGGAGAGCTAGATGAGGATGGGATGACAGGAGAGCTGAAGAGAAGACGTACGTGGGAGGACCAGATGAGGGAAGAAACTGGAAAGGATGCCATGGCGCTGGACTCCTAAAAAACGGGGAAGGGGCGGGTGCTGGCCCCCAACCCCGCCTGAAGAACTAATGCTAGTTACGGCTTTTCTTGCCGAAAGACTTATTTACTTTTGTTATTTTGTTTTGTTTATTTTCCACGTTCTGGATTTTGTTTTTATTTTGGGTATGTTGTGTTTTTACAGCAAAGATACTTATGAAACTAATGTAGGAGCTGATGTGTCGTGTCTACAAGTCATAGGCTCAAGTAAGCCCAAAGCGGGATCAACGAATTATATGGCTTCTACGGATGTGATTAATTCCGAGTCTGGTCCTTGGGTGGACGGTAGACAGGAGACTTGTCGTCACACGGTTACCTATGTTAGTTGGATTTGTGTGTTTGGTTTGGTTATGATAAGTTAAGCCAGTTTCGTTAAAAAAAAAGATTATTTGAACAAGCAAAGCAATCTGATCTATTTGCAGAAATAAGATCGATACATACATATGAAATTGAATAATAATGTCCTTAAATTAAATGAATAGCCAAATTAAAATGTAATCATTTCAAATGAACTTTTTTTTGTAGATGAATTAATAAATCGTTAATGCATAAAAGGTGTTGGGAAAAACTCCGGACTTTCCCGCTTCGTGAAGTTAAGACATGCACTTAGAAATTAAAGTAATAATGAGAGCACACGATTTATATTCTCCAATATGGATATTCTTCCACTATACAAAAGAATAGTATGATTTACAAAGATGTTACAAAATTGTCTTACTCAATGGCGGCTCACTCAAACTTGAGGATAGAGACTTCACAAGTTATCTCTCTTCTCTCCCAAAGAGGCTCTCTAACTCTCTAGCTTTCTCACTCTAGGAAGTGACTTCTCTCTTGCTATGATGATTAGGAATGGAGGCTCCTACTCCTTTTTATACTACTCGACCTCCATAATGAGTGGTGGAGAGTAGTTCTCCAGAATGATCTAGACATGACTATCTATTCCAGAGAATTTCAAGGAATCTCTACACCTCTCCATTCCCTTCCATATGATTTCATTCTCTTCCATAAGATTCCGAAAGATTCAGCACATCTCCATAATGTTCTAGAGGATTCCACACTATTCCACAAGCTTCTAGAAAGTTCTAGACTTCTCTAGGATTCTCCAGAACGTTCTAGAAGATTCTATACTTATCTAGAAAGTTCTAGAATTTTCTAAAACCTCTCCAATTAAGGAGGGATCCCAACAATAAAAGGTAATATTAAATAATATTTACAAAGTATTTTAGAATTTCTAGTTATGAAGATGAGCAAACTAATATTGTAGAAGTATTACTCCCTCTATCCATTTGGCTTTCTCTTGGAACAATTTGTGTACTTAATATTCATTATTCTTTTTCTACATTAACCAAATCATACATTTCCCAATTCATTAATAATATCAATCTTTAACAATATTACCTATAATAATTTTGTAAAAGAAACTATAACAACAATAATAATAACAATGTAATAATAGTATTACACATCTAATAATTATTTAAGTAAAAATGACATCATAAAAATTATTCTTGCAATAATATCAAGCATAAATATGATGATGTATAATCACTATGTATTAGACATTATCTTTGTTTTAAATAACATAAAGTTATTGAAATAACACGTCAATGATCCACACCCAAAAAAGAGCCCCCCTCCCTCCTGATGAAGATAGAGATCAGGCCGATGGCTAAGGTCTTCAAAAATACCGTAGTACCAAATAAATAAGCCGGCGCCACTCTTCCCAAAAATCATGACAAATCTTCCCTATGGATTAGACATTATCTATCTAAGTGGGTGTATAGAACAAAGCTTGAAATATAAGAGCTTCATTCGCTAATAAAGTTAGTGATTAAAATCGAATTTACGTATATCTAATTAACTGTCTTTGGAGACTTCAAAGATGTAGTGTCATCATATTCTTTGTTAGAAGGGCCCTGGCCTCGTACGTAGTAGTTGGTAGCGGATTGTTTTACTCCTTCCGCCCGCCTCTTTTATATCCTCATTTGACCCGACACGGATATTAATTAAGATAATGAGATTTGTATGGTGGAGAGTTGTGCAGAGGAGAGAGAAATGTGTAAGAATGATAGTGAACCACACAATTGTTTACCAAAAAGGGAAAATAAAGATAATTTTGGGACGAACGAAAAAAGAAAGTTTAATTTGAAGATAATTCAAGGACGGAGGGAGTATCTTGCATGATCAATTGACAGTAGGTTGATTCGCAAATCCATAGTGAAAAGGCCTTTTTGAGCTTTCACCCTAAAAATAGCTACAACTCAAGTAATTGAGCAATTAGACTTTTTTCATTGAAATCAGTGTTTTATTTCTTATACTCGTATTGGACGAGTTACATTTTGACTGACATGCAGTTACATTTCTCATTAACGTGAGTTGCATATATGACTCATCAATGTTCACTCTTTCATGTTCACGTGTGTTTTACCCATGAGATTACCTTGCTCACCGTGAACTCGTACCACGATATAACAATTGATTTTTTTATTTAGTTAATGGGTCAAAGCAGCTACACTTAATCAAACATGCCAAAAAATGATTCATATAACATTTATCAAACATGTAGTTATCTTCCTTAATTGTTTTGATAAAAAGTTACGTT